GGGGGGGGGGGGAAGAAGAGGGGAGAGAGAGTGAGATTCTGGATTAGGAGAGACAACTCTGTTATATATCACACTTACACAAAGTACACTACGTTATCTCCCTTGATCACTCACTGTTACATGTCGGAGTAATAGCTTCATTCCCCTGAACCGGAGAACTGGAGTTTTCGTTTGGAGTTCAATGTGCGCTTAAAAACCCCTTCAAACAAGAAATTGATCCCCCTCAAGTAGGTGTATGGGTAATATTTCACTCTACTGAGTTTGAGCTTGCAACGAGTTACTATTATGCAGGGCCGGATTAGCCTAGCTTTTATGCATAGTAAAGTCAAATTAATAATAATATTGCTACTACTTTTCTTTTTTATTTGAAAATTCAGCTTTTTAACCCTATCCGTACATTGTGTTTTATTATCATATCCATAGGACGTGGGGAACTCTGTGCCACCACTTTCCAGAGAGGAAATTCACTCGTTAATCTGATACATACGCTTTGCAAAGCAGTCTGTCAAAATGATTTTTTGAGAAATACTGAAAGTTTCAAAGAGATCTTTGAACTAGAAGTATTCTAAAATGTGAAACACAGCAGAAAGAAAGGTCTCAAACCTGAACTCTGAGTCTATATTATGATCCCCCTTAGACCGTCTACTGTTACAATAATGAAAGCAAATGGTCCTGTATGAACAGCAATTTCTTGTAAAAGGCTGAAACAATTGATGTTAGAACAAGCAATGATGAATGGTAGAAAATATATAATCATTAGTGCAAGTGTATCATAACTGTGTTTTTAAGTGGAAAATAGAAAGAAAGAAATACCATATCCCACTGCAAGTAAAGTTTCTTCAGAGACTGAAAGATTTCTAGAGCTGGAGCTTGCTGTGGTTTTATTTTGCATGAAAAGGAACGATTGATATAAAAAGATCCCCTGTTTTTTTTTTAAGTAGACGTTTTACAGCGCTCGCAACTGCATAAGGTCATATCAACGCCAAGAGGTGGATGTCAAAAGAGAAGTCCTTCCAGAGAAAAAGATCCCCTGTTTGGACAGATCGCTCATCTGTCAAGGGAGTTACTCACCACTGGCAATGGTAACAACGTCATAACGGGCAGAAGTCAAAGACTAAACATCTAATCATAATTAAATTGTCTTTACCCAGGATACAATTTTTGACCTAGTACCAAAAAAAACAGAACCTTCTAACCTTTGATCATAGGCCTATGCTCTGCAGCAAAACCACTTGACAACAAATATATTGGTTTGTAAACCAAATTGCCTTTCTGGGATTAATAAAAGTGTAATTCATTTTTTAAAATGTATTTTTATATAGAGCAAAATCTTAAAATGTGAAAGACAGAAAAAAAGTGGTAACAGCGTGGAGTGAATATTGGAATAATAATAAAGTTCATTAACAAATAGATAAGATTTAAAAACTCAGATCTGATAGAATGAGGTGAATAGGCCTACCTCGTGTTAGTTATAATAATAATATACCTTCAAAAACACCTGCTTCAACTGTCCTAAACAAAACATGTTGATCAGTAGGTCAGTATAAAACTACAAAGACACCCAATGATATACAGTAATGAGGAAAAGAACATAATAACAGTCATCATATACTGCTGTCATTTTTAAAAGTACAGCAAATGCAGTTTCGCAATTATACATGATAGCAAAAAAACAAAACAACTGAATTTGTTACCACAAAATCATTTACTTTAAAGATAATACTGAAGTTATTATCAAAATTGTAATCTTAAAAATATTGACTTATGGGGTTTGCAAAGAGCTTGCTTTCTAGGTAATAACATTCAGTTGGGTTATTTTTGCTCTCCTGTAAAACTGTGAAAACCACACATATTATATATATATTATATATATATTTATATATTACTGTACTTTTTAAATGATTTCATCATATAGGGATGTAAAGACTACACTTGCTCCGCATCGCTTGAGATGGTGAGAGATTTTCTCCTCGGGGCCGGCTCCACCCTCAGCTTAGGGATGTAGACGAGGAACAGCGTGAACCCAGACAGAGCGTAGAACAGTCCTGACAAATAAAACGCTGCATTGTAGTTTCCTGTCTCATCCGACACCCAGCCTGTAAGGAAAGAGAGATCGTACGAGACAATCAAATAATCAAATATTGCGTGAAGTGTAAAGGAAGGAGTATAGAGATGAAACAGAGTTGACAATCAAAAGTTGAGAGAAATGTCAAGTAGTATGGAGATTAAAACGGGAATAGACAATCAAATACTGCAAGAAATATTAAACAGTATAGAGATCAAACAGGAACGACAAAAAATGTGAGGAAAAATAAGTGACAATAAAAAAATAGATAATCTGACAAAAACAAAATACTCTAACACACTGTTGCAGTAAATGCTAGGGTCCTCTACTATAAGCATTTTTGTTGTTATAGGAACACCATAATCTCGATTTCAACAGAAAAAAGACCCCCCTTCCCTCCCAAACGAACAATCTCTTGCTTTTCTCAAGGATGAAGCCAAGACGTTTGGGTTTTTTTCTCTGACAAAGATGAGGAAAAATAAATGTTCAAAATTCAGGAATGATAATATAAAATATTAGTCACCCCCTTCCCCCTTTTCCACACAAATTCACACACAAACACACTTGTTTTCTTCGGTTAACTTAGACAGCAAAACTAAATTACACAAATTCAGTTTCCTGATGAGCCTCCAGAAAGTTCCTTACTTTGTGACTGAGATAAGGTATATATATATGAAAGCCTGTCCCACACTCCTTCCAACTCAGTAAGTTCAATAAATAGTTGAGGCCTCCAACCTACCTTTTATCTCCTCTGATATGAGCAAAAAAATGCTATAAGTATCCAAACACACAGCATTCTTGTAAGTAATGATCGTTATCCTTTGATAATAACAAGGTTTTTATAACATGCACCCCTAGTCTCCTCTTTGCGTGTAATAGGCTCCTTAATTTTTTGCACTGTATATATCAGGGAAGCCGAAAATGTTTTTGAGTGTTCTAGGATTTGATGGTGTAATAATGTAGACTGGGTAAAGCATAGAGCTTGCCGTTAAGCAACGATATGTGTTACATAAACGTTATTTATTTATTATATGCATCATGTATTATCAAGACCCCACAACTCACCAGCAAACGGTGGACCAAAGAGATTTGCAATCCCTTGCATCAGCATCAGCAAGCCATAGGCACTGGTCAGCTTCTCCACGCCCAGATACTTGACCAACAGGACCGTGGTCAGCGGAAAACTCACACTGACGAAGAAGCCGAAGAGTGCGTACAGCACGCAGGTGCTCCAGAAGGTCGGCATCAATGGGATCAAAGAAATACACCCGCCCGCCAGCACGGATACGATGGCATAGACGTTCAGAAGATTGCACTCCAGATCTCCGATGTATCCAAATACCACTTGCCCGATGGTGTTGAAAATTCCGACTATTGAGAGGAGGAACGAGGCTTTCTGGGGGTCCACGCCGTTTTCCATAGCGTGATCCGCGGCGTACATATAAGGGACGTCACTCCAGAGATAGAACAGGAAGTTGGAGATGATCAGGATGCTGAAGAAGGGGTTCGACAAGAGCTGCACGTCCACCATGCTTTTCAGGACGTCGCAGATTTCCTCCAGCAGCGACGCGATCATCTCGTACACGTAGCCGTGGTCCGACTCCACACTCGAGGTGTCGGTGAACTCGGGGCAGCTGGTGCCCAGGGTGCAGTGTCTGAGAGGGTTGTTCTGCCTCTGTAGACGGCGGTAGAAGATGTCGCTCCTGTAGAGAGGCAGATGGATTCCCAGAGCGTTGTGTCTGCCCATGTACATCCCCGACATCCGTCTCGATAGCATTCGACTCTCATTTGCGTGGATCTTTCCGGTCAACGTACTTCCTAACCCGTGCAGCTCATGTCTTTTCTGTGTATCTTTCTTTCTTAAATCTTGGCTGTTGTATATTGGGCAGGTTCTCCCAAACTGGTCAACTATAAACAGATGAACGGGTTCCCCTGATTTTGAGATGGAGTCGGTCTGAAAGACGTTTGACCGAGAGACCGCCAGTTTATTGTTAGCTTCTTTCTGGGCATCGGACCCACATATCTGTGGCGGTTTGCAAGACCTTAATATATTTGTATCGTCTACCAGGGACGACGGAAGGCTATCCAAGGCATTCTCGGTGTCCGACCCGACATCGGTGGGGGACATGGCTCGGATGATGCAGTTGTCTCCTTTGACGAGAGGCACCTGGTCTGGGCGGCCGATCTTGCATTCCTGCTCGGAGCGCATCATTGCGTTCTTCATGTACCTCTGCATAGTGCGGTGAGGGTTCTTGCTGTTCTTGATTGCCTCCATGAGAAGCGCCTGGGAGACTTCCAAATTGCTCGTGGCCACAAACGTTGGGAGGTTCAGCGTCGACAACGCCTTCGTGTCTTCGTCCGAAGACTCCGCGTCCGAATCCGAGTCTGAGCTCTCGCTCGGGTACCGACTCCGCACCACCTCGATTTCCTCGCGACCATGTGGGATGCGGTTAAACTCTTCCAGCATCAACTGCCAGCGCTCTACATCAGTGAACTTGAGAGGTCGGAAGAGCATGCCGCACACTAAGAGGTTGAGACTAATGCCGGAGAGGATCAAGAACAGTCCTCGCCAGCCGTACTCGTAGATGAGGAAATCAATCAGAGGGGCGAAGGTGAACGTACCGATTCCTGTGCCGCAAACAGCAAGACCTGTGGCCAAAGCACGGCGCTTCTCGAAATAAAATGCTACGATCACTACGCTGGTGATGTAGCAGAAGGAGAAGCCAGCCCCGACAATCACGCCAAATGTGACGCAAAGCATCTCTATTGAATTGGTGAAACTGCTAGAGAGAAAGCCAAGAAAGGCGAGTATTCCCCCAAAGATGGTCATCTTCCGACAGCCGAAGCGAGTGGTGAGAGAGCTAGCCAGGGGCCCCAGAATCATGGAAACCCCGAAAAAAATGCTGCCCACGGCAGAGGTCATGCTACGAGAGGCACCAAACTGCACCTTCAGCTCCGAGTAGAGAAGGCCAAAGCAGTAGGACAGGCCGTCACAGATAACGCTGACCAAGAAAGCGCCAAGGACGACGAACCAGCCCCACCCACCGTCCGGGGACGGCGGCATGGGCAGAGAGCCGCTAGAGCTCGACGCATCGCTGCTGGACTCGCTGTTCTTCTTCACCCGCCCGCCTCGCAGCGCGTGCAGCCAGCTGTAGCACTGGTCCGGGTTATTGTTTACGCCTCCTGGGGTGCCAGGCCCGGCGGCGTGCTCGCAACACGACTTCTGGGTGGAGAGATTCTTCAGGCCACAACTCCCACACACTCCGCTGACGTCATCGCTCTTGTCCCCAGCACAACCGCTCGGTCCCAAGCTGCTCACGTCACGTGATCCGACCCCGTTTGAGCTGAGAGGAGGAGGGAGTCTCAGACTGCAGTAACTGTCCCCACTTTGACCACCGCCGGCTGTGGGTGTAGTATGAGGGGGCAGCAATCTTTGTTGCAGCAGGTGAGACGAAGAGTTCTCATCATCCGTTGACATGGCTCGGGGACCTTGAAGGTCTCCAAAATTCCCAAGATCACTACTCACTTCTCAAACTATAAGTGACTGAGGATACTGAGAACGTCTCACACAACCGCTCTTTTCTGAAGACGAAAAGTGACTGCTGGTACTCAAAATTTCAAACACCACAACTCACTTCTAAAGACTACAAGTGACTGCTGGCACTCAAAACTTCAAACACCACCGCTCACCTCTCAAACTATAAATGACTGATGAAACTCTTTACCCTGAATCTCAATCTCGGTTTCCTGGTCTCTTAATTTCTCCTGATACTCTGAAGTTACCAACTGACACTCGCTATCACAAATCACTGCAGAATTCTGGGCTATTTGATGAGGCTGGCGGGCGGAGTTTTTATTTACAAACACACAGAAAGTTTCGAAACGTTTATTGAACAGACTGCTTTCACTTATAGAACAATAATTGGAGTCGGTTGATGGTTTAGTCATTGAGCAACTGGAGGTCCAGATGGCGAAACGAAGGCTGGGGTCACTCCAGTGGTTGTCGGTGAACAGGAGAGAAGAAAATATAAGCTTTGGTCGTGGGTCCGTCATCGGGGTTATT